GCTAACAAGCCACCTCACTCGCAAGAACATGTAGCTGGGTAGCCGGTTTAGTCGCCGAAATTCCGACAGTGGAATACTTACCCAATATATATATATATGTAGTGAACGAGATAATCACGTACCCCGGAAAAAAGTTCGTGTTTTGTGTGCGATCTGCCGGGGAGGGATTGCCAAAAAGAAAAGTAGTCAGCAAAACTCTTATAGCGACTTACCTCGTCAACCCAAGCGAAAAAGAAACAAGTTCGTCGCAGGAGTCGCTGTAAGAGTGTATTAATATGCAAATTACGGAGCATCCTATCCCGGCTGTCGACGAATGGAAAAAATAGGTTCTGCCGAAATAGCTTGAAGAGTAAGCGTTCTCAAAGCAAATTTGTGGCTTTCACAACGCTTACTCTTCAAGCTATTTCGGCAGAACCTATTTTTTCCATTCGTCGACAGCTGTTCCCAAGGGCTGGGCACCTCTCAGTATTATTTTCTCAGTTGCCCCTCTGTCCTTTAACAGAGAAGCCCCGGAATGCACTCTGCCCAAAGACAGAGATGCAACTGAGAGATGATAAGCCTGCATTAAAATTCCTCCAAAGTAAGTTACCCTGTACTAGATTATAGAGAACTGAACGAACTTTTTTCCGGGGTACGTGATTATCTCGTTCACTACACTCCCACCTGTCACATAAGTGACACTCATGGGCGGGCCTCTTTATTCTTAAGCTTCTCCGGAGCGGGGCAACTGTGGGAGGAGGTTGTGTGTTATGTTCTGAGGTTTCTTCTGATCTGACAACCTCATGCGCAGAGTCTTCATCATCTGAAGAATGAAGGATGAGACAATTCGTCAAGCGACGTCAGCCTACATTGACGACATCTACATCAACGAAACCTTAGTACCCGCTTCACAGGTGAGAAAGCATCTTGCTGACTTTGGGCTCGAATGTAAAAACCCAGAACGACTGGAGGATGGTGCTCGGGTGCTCGGCTTGCAGGTCTGGGGGGAGCACAACATGCTGTACTGGAAACGTGGAAGCGAGCTCCCGGACATTCCCAACCACATGACCCGACGCAGCGTGTTTTCGTTATGTAGAAAGCTGGTGGGACATATTTCCGTGGGCGGGTGGATCCGCATTGCAACTGCATTTATTAAACGTAGGGTGACTGCTGTCACTTCCGGTTGGGATGACACAACCAATGATGCTCCCCTTAGACACATGATAGGGGAAGTCATTACTAGGGTGCGTCAAGACGACCCCGTACGTGGTAAATGGTGCATTGACGGATGTGAATTTAACGTCTGGGTCGACGCGAGCTCCCTTGCAACAGGAGTGTCTCTTGAAGTAGGTGACACTGTCGTGGAAGATGCGTGTTGGTTGCGTCCCGAGAAGGATACGCAACATATCAACCTGTCAGAATTAGACGCCGTTATCAGGGGAGTCACCGTGGCCCTTCAATGGAATGCAAAGGTGTTGCATTTATTCACGGATTCCGCATGCGTGTATAAGTGGATAGACTTTTACGGGGAAGGCCAGGATACGTACAAAGGCTGCGAGCGAGATGCTCATTCAAAGGTGGCTAGACACACTGGGAAAGTTGGTAAGTGAATACCACTTATCTGTAGATATACAGCTGGTCAGATCACAGCAGAACAAGGCCGATACTTTAACAAGGGTACCTCAAAAACGGCTTGATGCTATTAAGAAAGAGTTAGAGCCGGTAGGACATGTCTGTGTAACATCAGCAAGCGGCCATAACTCAGATTTACTAAAATCTGTGCATTGCCAAAGCGGACATCCCGGTGTAAAACGGACCTTATATTTCGTGAGGCAGATTGATCCCTCCGTATCCAAAGCTGCTGTCAGGGCAGTGGTCAGAGAATGCAAGGAGTGTCAGTCCATCGACCCAGCACCTGTGCAATGGCAAAAAAGGACAAGTGAGTGTAAGCAAGGTGTGGCACTGTGTTGGAATGGACATCACCCATTATAACGGGCATCACTATTTAACCCTGATTGATTGTGGCCCAACCGGTTCACTATTTGGCGGCGTCTGCGTCGACAGGATTCCTGGCGTCATTGACCACTTGGGGTCATTGTTCTTTGAACGTGGACCTCCGACGGAACTCCTCACTGACAACGACACTGCATTCCGCAGTGAACTATTCAAAGATTTTGTGGCTTCGTGGGAGTACACCTCAGATTTCGCTGCGCGTATGTCCCATCAGGGAATGGCATAGTCGAGCGATGTCATCGGAGCATCAAAAGAATCGCTGCTAGGAAGCAGTGTTCCATAATGGAGGCGGTGTATTGGTACAATGTTACTCCGAGAGACAATAATGTATCGCCCTCAACTGCGCCAGCCAACATGATTTATCAGTATAAAGTCCGGCTACGAGGCATTGACGCAACGCATTCAACTGAACGGATAAACGAACGAGCGCCGTATGACTTGGGCGATCGCGTGTACAACCCGGTACCGGGTGGGGCATGTCACTGGACTAAGTAACTCGCGTTCTGTGCTGGTTGATGGCATACCAAGACACATAAAGGACTTGCGTCACTATGTAGGTACAGATACGTCAACAAGTGACACTAGCAGTGAGTGCTCAGAAAGTGAACAAATAATTACCATCGGAGGTAGGGATAGCACCCTTCAGATGGTGAAGACTCTGTGCGTGAGGTTTGTCAGACCAGAAGAATCCTCAGAAGAAGAATCTTCAGAACATTCTTCAGATGATGAAGACTCTGCGCATGAGGTTGTCAGATCAGAAGAAACCTCAGAACATAACACACAACCTCCTCCCCACAGTTGCCCTGCTCCGGAGAAGCTTAAGAATAAAGAGGCCCGCCCATGAGTGTCACTTATGTGACAGGGGGAGGTAGTGAACGAGATAATCAAGTACCCCGGAAAAAAGTTCGTGTTTTGTGTGCGATCTGCCGGGAGGGATTGCCAAAAAAAAGTAGTCAGCAAAACTCTTATAGCGACTTACCTCGTCAACCCAAGCGAAAAAACAAGTTCGTCGCAGGAGTCGCTATAAGAGTGTATTAATATGCAAATTACGGAGCATCCTATCCCGGCTGTCGACGAATGGAAAAAATAGGTTCTGCCGATAAAAAGCAGTTGGTGTTGTCGACTCGGAGAAAATTCAGGCAGTTTTGGCTACGGCGTTCGTGAGTTATTTTCCTGACGTGTTACAAGTGATTCTTTTCTTTGTGTTGTAGAAAGCCACAAATTTGCTTTGAGAACAACACTTCTTATATATATATATATATATATATATATATATATATATATATATATATATATATATATATATATCACAGATAAATTTACTTAAAGGAACGATTAATTAGCTTATCTTCATACCCTGCCTGGTGGCAAAAGCTGCTGGTGGCGCCAGGGTGGCGGTCTCGCCATAGCCACCGAAACCGTGATATCACCCCTGGTCAGGGTATCGCACGTGCTAACACACGTTGTATGGTGTATATATATATATATATATATATATATATATATATATATATATATATATATATTGTGTATATTTAGGCAGCAATTTTTCATTAATCTATGTTCCATTAAATAATTATAAGAATATCAAAAATTAAATTAAACTAAAATTCAGCACGGCTTACTAAATAGACCTAAACAAAGAAACAATGACATACAAGGCACATTTGCTTGAAGCTATTTTTAACGAATGGCCTGACAAAATTGCTGTACATAGCTGGCAGTTTAGATATTTCTGAACAAGTCGAATGCCATACTTAGCATCTATAAGAGAGTCTAGAGTTTGATGTCAGGAATGGCATTCATATGAAAGTCTCGAACTGGCGAGGTTATTTATGAACTTGTCTCAAGCTTTTAGATTTATATTTGGGTAGTGTAACAATTAGCGGTGTTGGGGGAAACTACTTCTGGGGAACAAAGCCTATTCTATGATCAATTTCTTTTTCTTCTATACTAAATTTGTTATTGCGTTGTATTTGGGCGAAATCTTTTATTCCTGTTTATTTAAATATCAAATCAGGTAGTTTATTCGTAAGGTCTCTGATCAGGAGGATTTGAGGAGAGTGGAACCCCCTTTTAATTGCTGGTGTTCCCAACTCTATCCTGACCTGAAGTAGTAGCACCTGTTAGGGGCCCAGCTATAGTCAAATAGTGAACCCCCAATCTGGGGTCAAATACTGAAAATATAAAATACACTAAATAATAAAAAAATAAAAAAAATAAAAATATATTACCACTAACAGATTTTGTAAAAGAAAAAAAAATCATTAATAGCAATAGATATTTGAAAAAAGAAAAAAATACTCAAGCCCATAAGAAAATTACATTTCGGCATTAAATGACCTATATGGAGTTGATATGCCATTAAACAAACAAGCAAAAAACAAGGAATTCATTGTTGATTAGTTTTTACATATATTTTTCAATAAATGTAGTACAGACCAATCTCTGTTCTCGAACGTCTCACATATCGAACAAATCGGTTTCGAACAGAAAATTCGAGATGAAAATGCCTCGGTTAACGAACAAAATTTCGGTTCTCGAACAACATTGCCCAACCGAGTTAACCCGAAGGGAATCATTTCTGAGTCGACCGCCGTTTTTTTTAAAATACATTCGTGTGTTGTGTTTTGCTTTTCTTTTCCAATTTTATTGTACA